CAAGGACCCAGGACAAACTCAGGGCTTTGAGCAGTTGGTTGCCTCTGTTGGTGAAGAGACAGGATGGAGTAAAAGTAGAGTGACTGCAAGCCTTTAAGAGGAATACATAGACACAAGATTTCTTTCTTTCTTTTTTTTTTATTCTTATGTTAATCCCCATACATTACATCATTAGTTTTAGATGAAGTGTTCCATGATACAAGATTTCTTTCTATATCATATGCAGTTAGATGATTATCCCTCCTGGGTCCTAGAAAAGACTGGAGGATTACTGTAATGAATGGCAAAACTCTCAGCCTCCTTCCCTACTCATTTGGCTTATGCTCTGCCTCAACCCCCATCCCAGTGACCCATGCAGGAGATTGGAAGACTCTTAGGGCGAATGAAAAGACAAGGGAAAAATCTCATAGCTACTCATAGTTTAGGATCCCCTCCAATAAAATGGGGAGGTTGCTTCACATCTAACCACCCTATATTCAGGCCCACTGATGGACAACTCCACCATTCCCATATTCCGATTAGCAGTTTATTACCTTCCTCTTAAATATAAATAAGCAATCAAGGAGGACTAGAGGTGTGAGGATAGCCTCTAATGTGAGAAGAACAAAACAAATTTTAACTTACTCTGTTTTCTTTACACATTTCCTAGGAGAAATATTCCTTAGAGGTATTTCCCCTAGGGAAAAACAAAAACTACATTTAACAGCTTCAGAGAACTACGAGAAGATGTATCCATTAAATAAAAACAGGAGGATGTAAAAAGTAACATTCACAGAATGAAAACAAAAAAGCTCTTGGAAATTAAAAATATGATCAAGAGAACTTAAAAACAATGTAAATTTGGAAAAACAACAACAACAAATCTCTTAAAATGTTGAACCCAAGGGGGAGGAGAGATTATCAAAAAAATAAAGCAAGAAAATTTCCCTGAAGTGAAGGACATGAGTTTTCAGATTACAAGTGTTCTCTCAGTACTCATAACAATAAATAAAACAAATAAAAATAGCCTACATCAAGGTTCATTATCATGATATTTTAGAACACTAGTGAGAAGATTCTGAGAGAGATAAAAAAAAAAGAAAAAAGGAAGAAAGGAAGAAAGGAAGAAAGAAAGAAAGAAAGAAAAAGAAAGAAAGAAAGAAAGAAATGGGTTTCCACACTGGAAATAGAAAACAGTGGAGAATATTTTAAAAATCTGAGTGAAAATAATTTCCAACCTAGAATTCCATTTCCAGAAAATCTATTTATCAAATAATGGTGAATATGCTCCACCAAAGTGAGAGAGGAAACCAAGAATGAGGAACAAATAAGATCAAGGAAAAGGAATAAACAGGGATGGGCAGAAAGAAAATTAGACAAATGAAAAGTGAGGGAATTACTAGAAGTAAAACAAATGAACAAGGAAATGTCATCAAAGTACACTATGTGGCTCAGCTGGGAATAAGTAATATTTACATGGTTTAATAATGTAAGCCCTGAATATCCTTCTGACAAACAAATATATGACATTACCATATTGAGAGGATGTGAGTAGGGTAGGGATGTGTTTTATTTGGTTAGAGGGTAATATATAAAGATTTCTGTTAAATACATAATTTTAATACAAGCATCAGGAGGGAAGGGTTTTTTGTTGTTGTTGTTGTTCACCATGAATTGCTAGTGCCTAGAACTATGGCCCCCACATAGAAGGTTCTCAAATAACTGTTGCATGAATGACATTTTCTGCTTCAAAAAGTTTAATACATGGAATCTCTTTCCCTTTAAAATTAAGACTAGCAGTTTCAAAATTTAAAAGTAATTACATAAAATAGTTAAGCTGAGCATTACAATACTTGAGATGATTTAAAAGCACAAAATATTCCTGAGAAACTATTCTTTGTAAATCTTTATGCTAGCTGGTTTGATTGGGGATGCCTTGGAGCTCAGAACAGTTCCAGGGAAATCAAAATGTAATTTTCTCAATTTAGAAAGCAAGTTATTGTATTGACTTTTCCTTCCATTCACTCACTAATATAATACAAGGATGGGGTGAGGAAAACTGCTTTTGGAGCTGGTGTACTTCGGGAGAGAAGTCCTCAGTACTTCTCACATTTGATTCCAGAAAGTTTTTACCAGGGCAGTGATTCCTTCTATTCAATAAAGAGGTGCGTCTTTGGATCAAGGATCTGTTTTGCCATCTAATGGATCTAAATCAGGTCTATTTAGTTCAACTTGGCTGCGAATTTACGGCTGACTCGGACTGTAATGAACCCATGGAACTTTTCACTCATTCATCCTCTCGCTCTCTCTCCCTTCACCGAACATTTGCTGTACATCTACTGTGTGCCAGACACTGCAAGAACAGGAGGAAGAAGACCATGTCAAATAATTCTGGGTGCTTACAGCTAAAATAGCCGGTCCCACTGGAGCACGCAAGAAGGTATCCAAAGCGCGAATCCAGGTATTTTGGTGTTAGGATCTGCCTGCGAGTCGGGTGCACACTCTTGTCAGAGGCCTTTAAAGAAACTTCCGCCCAACTTTACCCGGGGTAGCAGCTCTTTGCGGGGTTGCGGGCAACCGTCGCGCCCCGCGGGAGCGCAAGGCACAGCTGGGGATTGTACCCCTCTTAGTGGCAGCGCCGCTGGTCCCAGCACTTCAGAAAAGTCCTACCCCTCTCCAGTCCTCAACCCCAAGGATTCAAAGTTTCCCCCAAATTCATACTGTGGGCCTCCTGGGAGGCCAAACCCCAACCTGACTCCACCAATGCGCCCCACCTGCTTCTCAGGCTCCGCGCGCCACTAGCTTCGTCCGGGCTAGGCGGCTTGGGACTCTAGGGTCTGGGGCCTTCCGGAGCTTCTTTCCTACCCCCTCCCTCCTCCCCTCTGTCCCCTACGCCGGCGCAGCTATTTTTCCGAGGCCGCAGAGCTCGTGGCGGGGGTGGGGGTGGGGGTGGGGGGGAACGGTGCAACCCCGAGCTGCTGGAGCCAGCTACAACGCTCTGCCAGACCTCAGAGACGGTGGCAGTGGTCCGGGAACAGGCGGTGTAGAGGGCAGAGGCGTTAGTCAGGTAGTGCCTCCCAGCTGTGCCTTTCCACTCCTGCCAGAATCCGGGAGAAAGGGACAAGGAGTCTCTTGTATTTGTAGGGCCTTGGGAGGAAGGGCCCTGCCCGGCTAGCCGTCCGCTACAGCCCTGGGCTACTTTGTAGGTCCCGCGCAGCGTTCCGGGGTTAGGGGCGACTCTGGGTCATGCAGCCACTGTGCGCACTGCCTGCTGGGGTAGCAAGCAGGCCCGGCCAGAGCCGCCGGATTCGAGGATCAGGATTCTTTGGGGGTGTTACCTGGAGTTTCAATTGCCCCGGTGCAATTGAAAATAAGACCCGAGGGCCCCAACAGGCAGCCCCTGAGCGCCTTTCTGATCTGCAAAAGCAGTAAGCACCAGCGGGTGGGATCCCGCGAGCCTCTGGCTTCGCTCTCTGCACCGCACCCCGGGGCGAGGCTATTCGAGAGGCTTCCTGAGGGCAGGAGGGGCCAGAGGGCGCATTTGGGGGCACAGCCCTTACCCCCCAAAAGGACCAGCCTAAGGCCCCGAGGTGTGTGTGGAAGTATACTTCTTCACTTCTTCCACACTGCCTCTACCCGCCATCCCACTCTGCCCGGTCGGCAAGCGCTGGGGCTGTTCTCGCCGCGCCCAGGTGCGGCGAGCGCCCGCAGCGCGGACTCCCGAGAACTCGGCTTTCCTTAAGAAATAAAAGCAGAGGTTGAGTGCGTGCGCCCGTGCCTGGGGAACAATGTGCACCCCTGTGTGTGAAAAACGTGTCTATTTCCTAAAGCAGAAACTCGCGGGGTCGCTTTTGGGTTTGGGCGAGGTTGGTTTGTGTTGTTGGGCGCGCGCTCATTTGCGAACAGCGGGTGGAGGCGCGTAAGTTGCAGCAGGTGCAGGCTCTCTCCCCGAGTGTCCGCGTGTGAGTGCGAAAAGCCGAGCGGTGGTTGGGGTCCAGGTGTGTGAAGGCCGGACGTGCGCCCCGCGCGTAGCGCGAGTGCGCTCACCAGCCCGCCTGTAGCTGAGAGAGGCGCGTGTGTGAAAGTCCGAAGGCTCCCTTTGAGCTCGCAGCACCGTCTCTCCTTCGTGGGACCGCGCAGGACCCCCGCCCACTCAGCAATCAAGCGCTTCAGAGAAGTGGGGCATGGAGGTGGAGAGACACCGGTAGAAACCCGGGCACAGGCTGTCCCAGCCCAGCAGCTTGGCAAACAAGCCCGAAGCACAGGACAGCTGTGTAAACCAACCGCGGCGCTGCAGTGGAGGGTCCTGGGTTAGAGTGGAGGGTGCTGAGCCCGCAGTCGAGGTCTCGGGAGTAGGAGGGAAATGCCTAGCGCTCGGTGTAGCCAGTGCCGGCTTAGCCCCTTCCCCAGTCCTCCCTCCCACTCCCACCTGTCCCAGACGAGTGAGGCGAAGGCGGCTTGGCTCGCCAGACTAGAAGCAAAGCTACTTTGCATAGCGCAGGGTGCCAAGGCGCAGGTGGAGTGGGGGGTGGGGGAGAGCAGGGGATATCTCAGGAGTACCCAAGGTGGTCCAAGGAGATTAATCTTTCAAGTTCCCTCCCATTCCCCCCGCCCCCATCCAACTCTTTTACAGTGGGCTCTTTCAGCTGAGATGCCTTTTTAGAACCCCAGACTGCTGTTTAACCTCCTGGGGGTCCAGGCGGCCAGTCCGGGGTCGGTACTGGCATAGTAGGAGGGGCTTTGAGGTCGGAGTTCAGGCACCAAGAAAGTGAGAGAAGCTCCTCTGGCCCCTCACTGTAGGTGACGCCAAATTCCCCGCTTGGCCCCCACTCTCTGGACGTCGAAAGCTCTCCACCCCTCCCCGCCCGCCAGCTCTCCAAGCAATGACCTCATTGCAAAGACAGCTAGAGCCGATGGTTCCCCTCCCTAGAGAACCAGTGCAGGGAGCGCGAGCAATGACGCAATTGGAGCTGGGTCGGTCCTGGCCACTTTGGATTGGCCGCGCCGACTCGTGGGGACTCCCCTCCCACTATCGCTGGAATAAGAGACCAGAGCTCCGCGGGGAAGACGCCCGCAGCAGGCGTTGTGTCCATCGGGGCGGACCGGCCGCTACAGCTGTCCAGAAACTCCAGGCTCCAGGTGAGGAACTTCCCACTCCGCTCACTCTAGTAACTTGCCTCTCGACTAGTTCATCTAGTTTGCTCCAACTGTCTGCCTTTCTTTTTGCCTCTCAAGGCCATTGCGGCCCAGCTACAGGCAGGTGCTCCTAGTTCTCTGTCCGGCTCAGGGGTAGGAGGGCGGTTGGGACAGTCGGAGCACTGTCTTCTAGTTAGCGCAGGTGGAACTCCAAGCATTCCTAGGGCTTCGCCTGGGAGCTGGAAGCTCCGCGAGCTCAGGTAGGCGGGTCTGCGGGCCCCTGCTTTGGTGCACCTTGGCGTGCAGGATCCAGCCTGAGTTTGGTTTGGGAGTGCCCTGCGCGATCTCTCCTGAGGGATCACGTTTGATTCTGGAGACGGTGGAGCCTGGAGCCATCCTATGAGGCGCCGCCAGCCCACGAGCGTCCCTGAGACACTTGCGGAGACCTGGGGCTGTGCAGTCAGCCGAGCAGGACGGGGGGCTCACCTCCAGATGCTGGCCACCCGCACCTACAGCTAAACTGCGCTCCAGCATAGGGGGCTGGGCTGCCAGAGCCCAGACACCAGTAACTGGCACGTTAAAATTTTCCCCAAGTCCAAACCCACGCACTGAGAGATCAGTGCTCCTTCCCAAGGTACCCTTCCCTCTTTCCTCTGCCACGCCTTAGCGGGGGGGTCCAGCCGAGGGGAAGATGGCCATAGATTTCTCAGTCCCTGAGCAGACAGGCGCAGTGGAAGAACAAATATATCTTACGAGGGGGGGGGACCCCTCTTGGTCTCTGCAGAAGGCAAAAGGTGTGCGTTTGTGTGCATGCACTCGTGTGTGGCTTCTCCCTGATTTTCCACAGAACTCCACCACACCCCGGGACACCTGTTTCTGCTCTACCAAGCCGTTCACGGCCTGGTATCTTTTGAGGTTCACAGCAACCCCTCTGGCAAATGCACGGAGGCTTGGGGAGGTGGGTAACTTGCCTGAAGCCACAAGGCCGTTGTGGCAGAGGCAGAACAGGAACCCAGGTGTGTGGGCTCCAGGCCTTGCTTGGTCCCCATGCAGTGGTAATGTCTTTCTGTCCTTACAGAGAGGCATCATGGGCTTCTGGAAGACCTCCCCCTTCTTGGCTTTCAGCATCTTGGTCCTGTGCCAGGCAGGCAGCCTCCAGGCGGCACCATTCAGGTGAGGCAGCCCGAAGCCATAGAGCATTCCCCTTCTACTGCCCCTGGGATCAGGCAGTTCTGTGCCTCTGAAGTCACTGCCACAAGACTACAAGACCCGTGGGGGGACATTGAATTCAGCCCTGCGAGGGGGCGTGGGGGTGGAGGGCACATCCTCAGGGAGAGTCACAGGGACCAGGAAGCCTTGCCACTTATCCTGGGGAGGAGGAAGGCAAGGGCTCAGAGCCTCTCTTGGCTTTGCTTCCCCTCACCAGGTCTGCTTTGGAGAGCCCCCCAGACCCCACGGCACTCAGTGAGAAGGAAGGCCGCCTCCTGCTGGCTGCTCTGGTGAAGGCCTTTGTGCAGACGAAGAGAAATGAGCTGGAGCAGGAGCAGGAGGAGATGGAGGGCTCCAGGTAAGGCCCCCCACTCTGCCCTGGCGTCTCCGGAAGGACAGATCCCAGAGAGGTAGGAAAAACAACATCTGGCCAGGAGTCCAGCAGCTGTTCACCAGGCCCTGGGGTGCAGCCGGGCTTGGGCTCCATGGACTACAGTGGTCCCGGTGTAGCCCAAGAGACCGTGGTTAGACGCATTAAAGAGGCCCATTCCTGAAAGCTGTTAGGAAATGGAATGAGGACGTATAGAATCCCTTACTCTGGGCATTGGTCTTGCCCTACTGAGGAGCACTTCCAGCATTGGTTGACTTGGGACTGGTAAGTATGAAGCCAGGGGATGGACTTGGTATATCTCAGGATGTTTTAGAAATTTAACCTGTGTGCGTTGTTCTTTCACACCCACAAGGAGTCTTCATTGCACATTTGCAAGGTGAAGCCAAAGGCTTTGCAGAGGGTGGGCTTGGGTAGAGCAGTGTCTGAGGTAGGTCTGGGGTCTTTATTGTGTAGGATCTGTGGAGACTCGCATGTTGTCCTGGGGCCAGACACCCTTCCCTCCCCGTGTCCCCTGAGCTTGGAGCATACACCAGCCCCGGGCCTGGCTATGGCCCCGTGGGTCAGAGGCATGTGATGCACGTGCAGCTACCCTGAGAATCTCAGTGCAGAGCATGAGGACTGACACAATGCAGCATGAGGGATGCTAGAAAAGGCTACCCCTTCCCCACGCAGCCCTTCCCCACCCTGCCTGGGGTTCAGCAAACCTCTAGGTTCTCCTGATGGAGGATGTGTGAGCTGCCCTGCTGCCTGCCCCTCCCGCCTCTGCTCGAAGTGCCCCCTCCCTGGCCCAACCTTCTGCATGACTGCCCTCTAGGGCAGACCTGGTGCATGGTATTGTCTGGCATGTCTTTTCCCTGCAGCCTGGACAGCTTCCGAGCTAAGCGGTGCAGTAATCTGAGTACCTGTGTGCTGGGCACATACTCGAAGGACCTCAACAACTTTCATACCTTCTCTGGCATCGGCTTCGGGGCTGAAACTCCTGGGAAGAAAAGGGACATAGCCAGCGGCTTGGAGAGGGGCCGTTAACCGCACTTTGGGGCCCTCCAGGATGCCAACTGAACTCCTCCCACTCTTTCCTGATTTCCCTTCTTGCTCCCATTGATGAACTTAACGCATGCAGATCTTACTTTGTTCTTCAAGCTGGTATTGGTAGCTTTGCTTATGACCGAGAATACTGGGGATCTCAGGATGGAAGGGAAGACAGCAGGACTTCTAGCCCAGGTTAGAGGTAAGAGTGAGGGAAGCTTTTTGAGATCCCAGAGGATTTCAAGGCAGAGTCCTCCAATTTCTGCTTCATCCCTCATGCTTCATCATTGATGAATAAACCTATTTTCTAAAAGGATTTGCACCGTGGTGGTCATTACTCTGGTCCCTGTCCGAGGCTCGAGAGTGACCAGAACCTATGTTCAGAAGTAGCTTTAGCCTCAGCGTAGCCGGATACAGGCCTTGGTGAGTGGTCCCTGTGAACCAGCTCCACCATCAAGAACAGGTGTGCTGAGGAGCAGGTAAACACTTCTGGGGGAGGATGCTGCATCCCTGCCCTCTGAGCCTCTTCCAGGTAAGACTTCAGGGAATTTTCGTTTTCCCATGGAGAGTGGTTTTGTTGGCGTCTGCGACTGCTGTATGGCTGCTCTTTGTGCTCCTTGCATGTCTTGGTAGGGCTGGGCCTTCGGTGACCACTTCCTCCTGGGTCTAAAAGGACTGTATGTAAGTGACAGGAAGTGCAGGTTTCAGTACCTGATTCCTGGAGTCTAGCTTAGCACTGGGTTTTTTCTTTTTCTTTTTAAGTTTTTATTTAAATTCCAGTTAGTTAATGTACAGTGTAACATTAGCTTCATGTGTACCATATAGTGATTACACACTTCCACATCACTGGCACTGGGTGTTTTTTCACGAAGGTCTTTGGGCAGGGCTCCTAGCGGAAGCTGCCAGGCCATTTCTCCTAACAGCTTTGATAATTGCATTTAGGAGAAACTCTTATTCTTAAGTGGTATGTCGAAGAGCTGCCATTCCCTTTATGAAGGCCCCATGAGGCAGGCTCCTGTCTCTCGCCTCTCACTGATAGGCCTTGCCTTCTTTCTCCATCCTGCAAATCAGCATCACTGCCCAGAAGAGATCCTGCAACACTGCCACCTGTGTGACCCATCGGCTGGCAGGCTTGCTGAGCAGATCTGGAGCTGTGGTGAAGAACAACTTTGTGCCCACCAACGTGGGCTCCGAAGCCTTTGGCCGTCGCCGCAGGGACCTTCATGCCTGAGCAGCTACTGGACTCCAGGAAGAAGGTGACCGCCCTTGTTCTGTTGGATGGGAGGGGAAGGAATTTGGAGGTTATGATCCACATGTTGAACCCCATTGGACCTGGTAGGGACTTGAGATCCCTTCTTTCCAATCAAATTCTTCCTTCTGAGTAGTGAGTTTCTTCAGCAACTCAGCCTGAAATCAGAGCACTAGGATAGACTACAGACATGCAGTGTCATCTTTCTGAGAGGAGAAATGAAAAAAAAAAAAAAGCTTGCTTGCTGATTGATAGTTGCTTTTTTTCCCTCGTCATTTGCCTTAAAAGCCTGTTTACATCTCAGACCCATACTTTGTAAATGCTGTTTAAAGAAGCACTCCTGTAAATGTGTGTTCTTTTTAGTAATAATGGTGATTATTCTCTTCTTGTCCTTCTTCTATTTCTCTTTCTTCTCCTTCTCCACTTCCTCCTCCTTCTTCCTCTTCTTTTTTATTTATTTTTTTCCCATCTCAGGTAACCATGAAGCTGAACTCACCACTTCTATTAATTTCTGTTGACAACACTTGGTGAGAAGGCCCCATGGAAGATATACATGTTTGCATCCCAATAGATACTGAAAAAAAGCACCTTTGTCACTTGAAAGGAATGAAACTGAATGCAAAATAGGCTAATTCCATATGTATTGTGTATTCTTTTTATATTTGATTCTGTGTGCGGTCAGTGTGATGGCATCTATTACTGGCTTATCTGGTAGCAAATTGGTTCTTTGAGAGCTATCCTGTGGATCATGGCGGCTCTGCCAAACCTTAGGTGGACAATAAATCATTGTCTTTGTGGCCTCTAGGGACACACGGTAATGGTGATGCTTTGCCTTGTTGTCTAAGAACATGATTGTATACTTTGTTTAAGGAAATCTCAGTATTGTACCATTTGTGAACTTCATCAAGATTAAAAACATATTTTGGATACATGTGTTTTGAGACCCTGGTGGTTCATTTCAACTTGTTTCCCTGTGTAATAATAATAACAATAGTAGTTGATGTTTTTTGAGTGCCTGCTCAAAATGGACCAGATGATGTTCTAAGACAGTGCTCTATACCTATGAATTCATTTAATCTTTATGACAACTCCGTGAAGGAGATCCCATTATTATTTCCACTTTGTATCTGAGGAAACAGAGGCCTGGAGAAGTGAAGTCCAAGGTCACATAGATAGATGGTGGCAGTCTCAGGTGGTGGTTTCCAGAGTCTATAGTTGAATCCACTGCCCTATATGCTTCTCGACAGTGGCTTCTGATGTGTTCCAGAGACCCGCTGGCCATCCTTTGACCTAATTGCCTCACATGGTGGACCCTCAGATTTTGAAGAAAAATGGAAAAAAAACATACAAACAACCTGACTTTATATAATAAAGTGGATCCCTTCTACCCCATTACTTGGTGCTGCAGGTTGAAAGTTTGTTTCCCCCCACCCCCAAATTGTATATTGAAACCTAATGCCCAAAGTGATGGTCTTGGGAGGTGGGGCCTTGGGGAGGTGCTTAGGTCATCAGGGCTATCCCTTGGCCCTTACAGGTGAGGATGGAGAGCATTCCCTTGCTCCTTCCGCCATGAGAGCTTACAGTCAGAAGACTGCTCTGAGGGAGGAAAGGGGTCCCCACAAGACACGGAATCTGTGGGCGCCTTGATTTTGGATTTCGCGGCCTCCCGAACTGAGAAATAAATATTTGTTGTTTAGAAGCCACCCGGTCTGTGCCATTTTGTTATAGCAGTCCCAATGGACTAAGACACTTGGCTTCAACAATGATCCTTTTATGGTCATTGTTGTTGCATCCATGCACCATCTATTACACCCCCCACATGCATTATAACACCAGTGTATCCATAAATACTTCCCCATATATGGGAAGGACTTTTTAAACATAACCACAGTCCCATTTAACAGCTAAAATAAATTAACAGTAATTTCTTAATTCCTATCTCTCACATCCAGTCATGCTTCAAATTCCTCTATTATCTTATATATATGCATATATAAGATAATGTATATATATAAAATCAGGGCTCAAGTTAGGTCTTCACACTGTTGCTGGTTTATATGTTTTTTTATTTTTGCTGGTTTATATGTTTTAAGGCCCTTTAATGGAGGTTGCTGCTCCATTGTTTTTTTCCCTCTTCAATTTATTTGTTGGAGAAACTAAGTTATTTGTCCAACAGAGCTTTCCACACTTTGAATTTTGATGACTACATTTCTGTGGTGAGGTTCAACATGCTCCTTTATCTGCTTTATTTCTTGAGAATCAGTCAGGAGAAAGAGAAGTCGGAGGCGAGGTCAGAGAAGAAATGAGGAGGGCAGATCATGTAGGACCTCCTAGGGCATAGGAAAGACTTTGGCTTCCTATCAGCTTCTCATCAGTGAAGCAGAAACCACAGCAGTAATTTTTAACAGAAAGTATAATTTAAGAAACTGACGAAGCAGGTAGTAGAGTTCTGAAAAGGTGAAAGAGAACAAGAGGTAGTGCAGAGATAGAAAGTGAAGGAGGTGGCTGCCATCCTCAGGGCCTGGGGAACAAAGACAAGAGGTGGGTGCTGAGAATCTAGAACCTTGGAGAAGGATTCTCAGACCACTGAGAGGGGAGGTAAGCTGATGCGGGATCTTTGAAAAGGTGTGACAAAGCTGTTCGAGGAGTATGGGAAAACAAAATAAAACTGGAAACAACTTACCTGCCAGAGTAAACTCTGTGGGCAATGCTGACAGAGACAGAAATCAAAATAGGAAAGTATGTTTCTTTTTCTTCATGCTTCCTTGTCTCCTTTAAGGGTCCCCCAACTGGCAGAGCCTGAGATTCACCTGACCAAGGAACACGGAGCTCTCAGAGTCCCAGCTCCAGCAGCTCTGTTTCAGCATATCATTTTAAAATGACATAGAGAAAGGTCAATTCTTTCTGGTGTACAGCTCTATGAATTTTGACAAATACATTGAGTTGTGTAATCGCCACCACAATAAAGATACAAAGCAATTTCATTGCTCCTCAGAAGTTTCCCATGTTTCTCCTTTGCCCCCTCGACCCTCAACCCCTGCTAACAACTGTTATGTCTCTGTCCACCTAGTGTATTTTTAATATTTATCTTTTAAAACTGAGATATAATTGATATGTAACACTATATTAGTTTTGTGTGTACCACATAATGATTTAATATTTGTAGATAATGTGAAATGATCACCATGATAAGTCTAGTTAACATCCATCACCACACATAGTAATAATTTTTTTTCTTGTGATGAGGCCTTTTAAGATCTATTCTCTTAGTAACTCTCAAATATACAGTAAGGTATTGTTAATTCTAGTCCACATGCTGTACATTACATTCCCAGGACTTACTTATCTTATAACTGGAAATTTGTACTTTTTGACCCCCTTCACTGATTTTGCCCATCCCCACGCCCTGCCTCTGGTAACCACAAATCTGTTCTGTTTCTTTGAGTTTGTTTTTTGTTTTTTAAGATTTTATTTATTTATTTATTTGACAGAGAGAGAGAGAGGGAGAGAGGGAACACAAGCAGGGGGAGTGGGAGAGGGAGAAGTCGGCTTCCCGCGGAGCAGGGAGCCCGATGTGGGGCCCGATCCCAGGACCCTGGGACCATGACCTGAGCAGAAGGCAGACGCCCAATGACTGAGCCACCCAGGCACCCCTGTTTTTTGTTTTTGTTCTCAATTCCACATATAAGTGAGACCATCCAGTACTTGTCTTTCTCTGCCTGACTTATTTCATTTAGCATAAGGACCTCGAGGT